TGCTGGCTTGGCCTGGATGGGGCATTGTATTTTAGATAGTAAGCTGGGTTGCAGTTGTTTATTGAAATATTGCTTGGCCCATTGCAAGGAAATAATAAATTCATCTTGTCAGTTCAATAGTGCAGGGCTACTTCCGTGTATTTGGTGATTTAGTACCTACATCCTGGTGACTACCAAAAAAAAAAAAATGTTATATAAATTAATTATGAAGTTCACAAATCATTTTCTCCATTTGGTCTGCATTCATACTGCAAACAAAGAAGTCCCTATTTGCCTAGCATTAAGGGAACTGAAGAAGATGTTAGTTGTACACAGGAAGAAATAAACAATGTGTGATTTCTTGTAGGAATTTATTTTATGTGCTGACTGTTCTACCCACATTTGAAGCTTGTGCCAAAGTCATACTGACCAGAATTTGTGGATCAGTGTTAACATATGTGCAAAATACATAGTTTATGTTGTTTTCTAACGTTTGGTGAGATTCAAAGCTTAAAACACTCTCTGAGCCATTGAAATCTGATATGGACTATCTCTCTCTTGACAAATCCTCATTTAGGTCAGACCAATTATTTCATGACTGGCTGCTAAAAGGCATCTTGCTGCTGTGCCACTAAGAACATTATAGCTCAGGCTCTGAGAGTCTGACGATTATATAAATGATGATAGTACCACACATAGCAGGAGGTCTTCTGGGATCAGCTCCCTGAAGCCTGTTTCCTACAGTCTCAGACTGCAGACACCCTCTCCGGGTCTGGCTGCCATGGATGGGCTGTTTTACAAAAGTAGCACTGGGAGCTATATTATCCAGGGAAATTGGAGCTAACACATCTTTTCATTGAAGAATATTCCCTAAGCACCCTCTTTGACTCTTCATGCATGCATTGCAATTACTGCTGCAAACTTCACATTATGTCGCTCACTTAAGATTGCTGTACCGTTTGTGTACTCTGCAAGATTTAGTGGAAAGAGGAGTACTTAACCTTCTCAATGGGAGGGCACAACGAAGTGGCAGAGACAGGAACAGCCCTCTTGCTGAAACAGAAAGCACGCCAAGTTGCTTGTAGCCGTTCTGTATAGCAAATTGGAGCAGGTGGGAACTTTGCAGCAATAGCACAGCATTGTACTGAGCAAAACTGCAACTGTAAAAGACCGGGGGAGGGGGGGGGGGGGGGGGGGGAGGAATGGGGGGAGTGAGAATTTTTTAACCTGAAAAGGGTTGATCTAATTTTCAGTAAACATTAAAATGCAAATCTGAACTGCTATTTACAGGTAATGAAATGGAAAACTTAAAACTTAGAAACACAGAGAAATGGTAAAAATCTTGATATGAAAACACAAATTTCCTGGGCCACAATACAGGGACTATAATGCAGCATGTCACAGACAATCTAAACAAATGAATATACATACAGTTGCAGCTACATCACTTAATGTCTTAGCTTTGTAGATTCATTATTTCTCAAAAGCACTTTTCTTTGCTATTATTCCTCATAGGGAAACAGATCCACTCGCATATTTACAAATAGTATCCCAGACTTAAAGCTTTAATCTCATTTATACTGTTTTTCTTTGCTTCCTTGAGAAAGTAGATAAAGCTTTAAGGTGTATGTATAGCATCCGCCTTCCTGTATTAGTCTTTTATTTGTTTATTTATTTATCACAGGAGCAGTACAAACTAGCCTTTTTGTAAGGGAGCATGAACCTCTTTATTTCTTGTAAACATCGTTCCTGCAACTTTGGGACACACCTCAACCAAAAGCTTCTGCTTGTGCATTTCATTCCTTCTTCAGCATGCTCTTGCAGTAAAACATAAAACAGTGAACTCACTGTGATTTTAAATACGAAAAATAAAAACCCAGTAATAACCTAACTGGCACATTAGTGAGTATAGGAAATCCCTTTTTTTCCCCACAGTATATAAAAACTTGGGTTAGGGGCTAGTGTGAGTGATATGGATCCAGACAAGAAAAATTCATTGTTGTTATCTGGTGAGTTAGAAAAATACATTCAATGTCAGTTTCCCCTTCAAGGTGAAGGAAATTACTTAAGGACTGCATATACAAACCTTGTTTATTGAGCTGAGCTTTCAACTTGAGATGGAGTACTTGTCAGGAGTTAGACTCTATCATTCTTGAGGGTCTCTTCCGTTTCGGGATATTCTGACCTGTTGTGCTGACTCAAAACATTACAAAAGTTAATGAGTCATTAAATAACTCTTCTAATGTGACACCACAGAAATGGGATAAATGTTAATGTTCTCAAAAAAAAAAAAAAAAAAAAAAAGAGTATTCAGCTCAAAGTTCAGGAGACCAAGAAATATTTTCTGTCACAACATGCAGACAAGATGTACCTTATCCTACCTTTCTGGTTGCAATGTCAACCCTAAAAGCATGTACCAAGACGTAGTTTAGAGATTGGCATGCTCTCCAATTCATGGTCAAGGTATAAATTCATGCTCAGGGATACCTATAGCTCAGACTTAAATAAAACGAACTCGGTGTTTTAGCCACACCAGCTTCTTTACCAGGCTACACTGGGCCTCTTCTAGGAGACATCCTGAGACTGATTTGAGTCTGAGATACCCAACAAACCTGATCAAAAGGGCATCAAGTGCTAGGTCTTTGCATTTATTTGACCTATTTAACCTGTTTGAGATACTTTAAGATGAAATCAGTTTCTCTCAGAAGATCCTATTTCTCACTCCTCACTTACAGGCAAAACATTATTAGGTTAGATACAGAAATCTATGGTGTATATCTGGTAAGATGAACACCACTCCTAATTGTGTTTGAAGAATAAACTTTGTGTTTTGTAGGAAGATTATTAAACACAGATTTTTTCTTGTTCTTTAGGTAAGGATATTGCTCAAACTACTCCTTTATCTCTTTCTTTTATTAGTTTGGAAGATTGAAAGGTTACCATAACTTTTCACACATTTATATTAAGGTTCTGATATCTCACCAGCACCACATTTTTCTGTGAGACAGAGAAGTAGGATGAAAAACCCTACATCTATTTAAGACAAATACTCAAAATTAGTTGATAGATCCAGATGTGCAACAATACTTAACAAAGAATATCCTCACTTTTTCCAGTTCCATAAGCAGTTATGATTGGGCTGAAGCTAATAGGGAGACACAAAGGAATTTTTTAACACTAAAGACTGGCTACTCAAGATGTGTACATTTCCAATTGCACCATGGAGCAGTTAAATGCACATGTAAGGACTGCTGGACTTCGAAATAAGATGTTGTATGTGGCTGCTTCCCATCAACTGGCAAGGCTGTGTCAGAAACAATACAATTATAAATAAATAAATAAATGCTGGAATGATAGAAATGATAGAGACTGCCATTGACAAGACTGTTACTTCAGCTGTGAAAGAAATCAGGTCATCAAGCAGGATCTACTTTCTCCTGCAAAGCTTCCATTCTGATGTAGGGCTGCAGGATCAAGATTCATTTACTCAGCACAATAAATGAAATAAATATTGGAGTACGTATAAAGTACTTTTCCAAATAAGAATTCATCTAGGAGACTATTCTGCATCCCTGAAAGAATTTAATCCCATATCACATGGGATTGCTCATATCATGTGAGATATTCACAGGGGAAAACATGAGGCAACAAACAATAAGAGTTATTCGTCATTGAATTCTAAGTTAAAAAAAAAAAAAAAAAAAATCTTTACTCGTGGTTTTGTTCTCATTTAATCACTTCCTGTGCAAATGAAGGAGCTTACAGCTTTTTATAATCAAATGCTACCGTCTGTTTTATCCTGTGGCACAGCAAGGATGATCAATAGCTTTTTAACAAAGCTCTGCTTCCTCTCTTTGATCTGTTCAAATTAAATACAGTTGCTAAAAAGGAAAAAATGTGTATATGCTCACTTTAGCTTTGCCATGTAGAAGTTTGATTCCATGATAGACCAGTATGTTCTTCTTGTTGAATAATTTATTTTCAATTCCAAAGCCACAGACATATTTCCAAAGAGAAAAGGCTGAGATCATTTTAAACTTTGTACAGGCAATGGTTTAATTTTACCTTTATGCTAGAAATCCGAGCAGTGCCAGGACTTTTATCCTACCTGAGATGACAACACCAGTGACAAGCCAACACAGTCCAGAAATTAGCATGAAAAGGACACCATACCTAAAAATCACCTTGAGCCTACCACCCAGTTTGGTGGGCTGAAGACTGCAAAATATGTAAATCAACCTCTTTTTCATGAGATAAATTTTCATGAGATAAAGTCCCCTACAATACAGTTTTGGCCTGTCTTCTGAATGTGGGATCATAGGAGGCCAAGGTATTAATATCACATCAATAAAATGTTATTCCTAAACCCACAAAATTTTAAGATTCAATACAAAGTTCGACAACCAGTGTGGATCTCAAGGGTAAGTGATCATCCTCTCATAATTTTAGTGTAGTGAAATTTACTTAATTCTCTTATTCATGAGACAGTTTTAAAAATGAGCTTTTTTAAACCATGTAAGAAATTTGGTGTGAAAACTTTGGTTGTCTGAACTAAAAAAAATAATCAAAAAGCAGTAATTTAAATTGAAAAATATAAGTGTTTTTTTCAAATTCTTCTTTTTAATATTCTACAGCTACAGAAATCCTTTTTTTTTTTTTCTTTTGAGGAATTATAATTATTTTATTTTCAACAGCAGTTCACAATGAGAACTTGTGTCCTCTTTATGCACGCTTCATTCAATATGAATAAGATTCTCTTTGCTCATCTTACCTTATTATCCACAGATAAGAGATTGTCCATATTTCATATAACATGAGAAGTGATTTACCTCTCAAATGAAAGCTACAGTTTGGAGAAATGACTGACTACAGGAAATACAGTTGACTGTAGCTGTGTTCCTCACTAAGTGCAACAAATCAGGCCATCTGAGTTTTTCTTCTAGGCTACTTCCTTTAATAAGACAATAAGAAACATATCTGTTGCTAAATGAGCTGTTTTGCATTACCAACTGAGAAATATGTAAGCCAGCATTTCATACACAGAAATAGCCTTGGAAATAGAAATTGCAATATTGGCCTGTAGTGTTTCCCTCCCATAGTGGGTGTGTCGTTTTTTTGCCTCTTTTTTTTTTTTTTTTCCTATATCACCCAGATCCACTGAATTAGGCAGCTCTGCTGAAGGAGACCACCCTTTATCAGGCTCTTGCAGCCTCTGACTCTCCTGCAATGCCTTCAGCCCTTGACACCAACATGAGGTTCAAGTTCTCGATCTTTGCTCTTCTTCTGCAAGTGGCCATCACTGTTTTGTTTGGGATATTTGTCAAATATAAAACTGGCCGTCAACCGGAAGGATTGCACCCACGTAAGTATTGCTGAGATTTATAGAAGTTAGAATTTCTTTAAACTAATCCTAACCAAAATTTCTGAATAACTTACAAGACTGACCATCATAGCTTGAAAAGGACAGCAATCCTTAGGGCAAACAAGCCTTTTTATGAGGTGTGAAAGCAGCAGACTTTAAAGATAAATTCAAATTGAGCGTATATAAAGTTCTAATAGTAACTAGGGACTGAGAAGTTAGATGTTTTGGGAGAGTTCTGAAAATAGTTTTAGTGTTTGCATAGCAGGTTAAATCTGGGAGAAATAAGAATTTCTTCAAAGAATTTAAGCATTTTCCAGAGATGCATGATGATATACTTACTAGTCCTTCAGTTCTGCTTACTGTATTAAATGGTGTAAAATAATAGAATATTTCATTACTATTATCCAGGTTTCAGAAGGTTGTCTTTTCAGAACATGTAAATTGGGCAGCATAGTCATCATCAGTACAAGATAAATTTGCAGAAACTGGACTCCATTGAAGGCAATAGTTTTTGTCACAAGGTGGCTAACTTACTCCTACCTTTCAAAGCATGCTAGTGTCTTGGCTGAACTTAGCAGTTCAGCCTGCAAATTTTTCTGTTGATTTGTTGTTCTGCAAAGGCTCAATAAATTTCAGGGAGAAAGCATTTAGTGTGAGACTGTTGCTGACTTCTCCCATACTCCCTCCCTCTTCTGCAAAATGTTGACCATTGTAAATAAATAAGTTCGCAAACAAAATAAATTTGCAGAGGAGCATCCTGTGTCTTGCTTGTAGTAATGAATGTTTGTTGTTCTTCTTGGCTCGGACATCTTAAAATTTGTGGTCCCAATTGCAGTTCTCTTAAGAATAATTAAAATGGATAAAGAAATTCTTGCCTGTATGTAGTACTCAATTTTGAAAGGCCTTTCTGTGACTTTTATGGGGAAGGTGGTCTTGGGGTCACTTCAATCCTCATTGGTCATACATTTTATATTCTCATAGAGAACACTGTCCAGTTAAGACAACAGTGAATGCTTGGCATAATTCAGATCCGGAGGCAAGTCAGCTGATGAACAAGGGACTAATTACTCACATTTCCTATACTGCAATGTAGCAGTATCCTTGATATTAATTTTGTGCAGTCGATTAAATTGCTTTTAGTCATATATATGCTAGCAACTTAGCCTATGCCAGAGCTCATTCTCTCCCCATGATAACTTGCCTATGTCCACAACTATACCAGAAACCACACTAATAATTTAACAGTAATTGTTATACAATTGTACTGGTGCACTATTAACAAAGCTATTTGCTAAAATTCCTCTCCACCTACCTCTTGTCTGGCTGTCCTCCAAAACATAACAACAAATACAGCCACAGAACTGTAGTGCTTTGGGCATCCTGGTAAAATTTAAGAAACCAGAAGGATATTTTATTGGTCTATGTTCAGACTCAGATTAAGGTCTATTTGCCCTGAAAGAACACAGAAAAATACCTTCTCCAGGCTGAATATCATACCTGCAATATCTGGTACTAAATTGTTCAGCATTTTCTTGGCATTTGCTTTACCAAGGAAAATGAAGAAAGGTGCTCAGTATCCTCGTGCTTATTTCAGTAGTTTAACAGTCATCCTTTGCAGTTGTGTAGTACATTTCTTGTTAAACCTCAGATCTTCTGGAGGGAGACTGCCTATGCCATTGTAACTGTCAGTTAGGGATAACCTAAAATGTTTTCTAATACCTATGTGACAGAAAAATTGCCTCGTCTTCTTTCTGTCTCTCATGCTTTTTGCTCAGAAAGTGTACGACTGTGTTATACAGTCCCCCGGTTGTCCACACTATTGAACTGTTAGCAAGTTTCTGGAGTGGTTTTGGCCATTTGACCTTCACCTCCTCCTAGGTTTGACATTAAAAATAGCATATAGCAGGGACTATTCACAATAGGTTGTAAAGGTGGGAACAACCTTTTCTAGGAGGGAAAAACATGTATAGATGTGAGTTGATCTATGCCATTTGCCCTTTGGCCAGAGGATAGACCTCAGGCTGTTCAGTTTACTAGTACAGACATAAACTAAGCAAACACTGCAGACTTAATGTTGGACTTGCAGATGCTGATATAAGAGTAGATAAATCTGATTTACTGTAAAAAAGTGGAAGAAAAACAGGATTCTCCAACATTTTTATTTTCATCTGTAGACCCTCTTCTAAAACATCCCTATCTGCAAAGTGTGCACAAGAGCATAATTTGCTGAAGGACCTGACAGAAATTTAATGCTACCATTGTGTAAATGTATTAAGACATATCCTGAATCAGGACTTCCACTGAGTTCCCAAAATAATGGCTTCAAACTTCTTCTCACATTTCCCCAAGAAGTTTTGAGATGGTAACATCATCTGTACCTCACAGATTTAGTTGTACCTTCCAGGCACCAATTTATACTCTCAGCATTGCAGTGCTGGGCCTGCTTTTGTACAACTTAAATACCTCAGCACCGTAAACCCAAGCTTTTCAGTATTTTTGGATTCATTCTTCAGAATGATGAAAACAATTGAAGATGACCATAATTTTGCATTTGGTTAAAGGAGGACTTAGCTGAAATCATTCCCAAAGCATAGCTTTGCATTTTCTCTATTTCTGGAGGATGTCAGTACAGGCATAGTGGATTGGATGCACAAATTTAGGTCTGCTGTGCCAGTAGAATGAGAAGACAAGGGGTTGTGAAGGTTTTGGAAGTACTCCTAGAGGATTTCTTTATTGCTAGCAACCAGCATTTAATGTAATGTGATTGGTCTTTGACACGTGGCTTTAAAAAATAGTATTATACACATCTCTTGTTCAATATTCTAAGGTTTACTCCTTTCAGCAGAGCAAAATTGCACTTTAAGTATAAACTTAGCGGCCACAAGCATCTTTGCATTGAGACTGACCATAATGCAGAGACCTTGCAGTGAAATTGATATGTTGGTCTAGGACAGCCTTAGCAGAATCATGGGCAGTGGTTTTATTCAGGATATGCTTGAGTGTTTTTCCCACTCTTTCTCTTCCTGTCTCACAGAGCAGACGTGCTATGTTTTGTTAAACACAACTAGTTCCTGAAACAGCTAATTCTAAATTGTGTTGTTTCTACATCATTTCAAATCATTCCAGACCTGATATTCTTTAGAAGAAGGCATAAGAGGTAGTTCAAGCACAAGTTACAGGCTACACCAGTTGGAGATCTTCACTCAGTTTGTGAAATATGTTGCTTTTAATCTTCAGGACTAGGGAAAAAAAATATTTAAGTGCACTTCAAATGAGAGCTGAGCACATAGAAGCCTTGTTTAAGGGCTTTGAGAATTAAAAACCTCCATCAAGGTGCTTTTGAAGCCTGTTCTTTTGCTCATATGTAGTGTCAGGTTACTTAAACGTCTTCTACTAATCTAGACATGATTTACTGAGATTTTATATATATGAATGGGATTGGTTTGATGAGAGCAATTTACCTGTTTTGTCTGAGATGATTATAAGCAGCAGATTGAAAACAAGAGCAAATAACATGCTGAATGTTAACAAACCATTATCTCCTCTAGAAGACTGGAAACACTTGCTGACTGTCCTGTGAATATGCATACAATTCACTAGATTATTCCTTATGCTTTTCTGGAAAGTCCATGGCATAGGCTAGTTCCAAGAACAAAAAGAGCAACAATGGTTCGTTTCCAAATGTACCTCTCATTTTGTGTATGAAACTCAAGAGTGATATAAGCTGAGAATTGTTGCAGCCATATATCACTTTGATTTTATCATGCTAAGATGTTATTTAATACATGTCCATTTGTTTCTGCTAAAGTGAAATAAAAACACTACTTTTGTAAATGTTGCCATGCATCTCCTATAGATTTGCCCTCTAGTTCTGTATTTGTTCATTATCATTAACAAGCATCAACACGCATATAAAGCAATTTTGCAAGAATCAGACAAACAACCTGAGTCATTTCTCACACATGAAGGTATTGGTCCCACAGGTTAGTAGCTAAAGGTTCACTCACAGAAAATTAGTAAAAAAATAAATAAATAAATGTGAGAAGAAGGCTTTACAGAGGTTCACAGGCAGAAGTACCAGCCAACAAATATACTTCAATAACCTTTCCTAAGCATCTCCTACTGTCTCCCTCAGACACAGAAATATGAACAAATTAAGCTGTGTTTGTAGTCCTGCATAAGGAAACTAAAAACTTTGCTTCTGGTATTATCAGGAAGGTTGTATTAGCATGGTTTATACTGTTCTCTAGCATATTTTTCCATCCCTTGCAAGATCCCTTGAAGCAAAGAAATATGTTGAGCTCTAAGCCAGATATTCATTTTCACTCAACATTGCAATACAAAATATCCACATGCATCAAAAGAGTAGAAGCCCAAATGGGAGACTTGATTGCGTATCTCTTAAAACAAGTAGTAAGCAAAACACAGGAGTTTGAAAAGTACTTCTGGAAACTGAGTAACTCAGAGGAAAATGAGGAGCTCCCAAAGGACTGTAGGAGCCTCAGAAATCCATATCACTTCAAATTAATGAAGACAGAAAATAAACATCAAAATGTCCAGCCTAAAGAAGAAACAAAACGATTGAGCATGTCTGAGAAACACCTGCATTTCTACACTCATCTCAAATGTGTGTAGACCACTGTAAAGGATATTACTGTACGAATACTTGCATTTCAGTACTAGGTCAGGAGTGGAATATGACAACGCAGTTTGAGTTTATTAAGAATCTCAGGCAACTTATTATACTTCTGGGCCCTCTTTTGGCTAAACGTGGTAATGCATATAGCAAAGCATGTTGAAAGTTGAATGTTGGAAGTTCCTAAATGGGAAATGTTACTTCAATCCAAATATTGTACTAAAAAGTTCAATGTCTCAAGTTTTCAATACGTTTTTATGTAAGGAACAGCAAAGTAGAAATGGAAAGAATAAGTTCCTCTCTGAAAAGGTTCTTACCAACGGGAGGAAAAAAAAAAAAAAGAGAAAAAAAAAAAGAAAAATAACCAACAACTGGTATGTTCAGTGCTCATTAAATTACAAAAAATAACTTCAGACTAACTTTTTTTTTAGATATCCCTATTGTGGTGATAAATTTATGTTCTATTTAAAAGCTTAAAAATTATTAATAAAAAAAAAAAAAAGGCATAAAATCATAGTAAATTAAAAGTACCCAAGAAAAGAACTCAATCTGTTGTACAGAGCTTTGTTAGGAATCACAAGCATACTTTTGTACTGTGCCAACAAGCATGCTCATAAACAAAAGTCATGCACATTTTTGGAGTTAGCCGGAACATGCTGGATGTAACAATCCTTATTTGGGGGGAAAGAGAAATTTTCTGTAAGGAAAGGAAGCTGTGATGTTCTGGGCAGCTTCAGGCCCAGGTGACAGTTCTAGGTACATTATGTTTGCCAGTAGATTGATCTAGTGCTCATTTTATAGAGATATAGCAAGATATAAAATCAATAATTTTCCAAAAACTCAACTCATAGGCTGTTTAGCAAAAATAGAAGGGTATGTCACATTGATGATATGAGTTTAAAACACATTCTGTTTTCAATTAAATCTTCCTTTGTCCCTAGCTAGATTTGCCCCTTTTGTAGTCACTGTGTACACAGACAGTTTTCTTCTTTCAGTCTTTCAGGATGTCCATGTGATGATATTTGTTGGATTTGGCTTCCTGATGACCTTTCTGAAGAAATATGGATTCAGCAGTGTTGGTATCAACATGCTCATAGCAGCCTTCGGTCTTCAGTGGGGCACCCTGATGCAAGGATTTTGGCATATGGAAGATGGGAAAATTTGTGTTGATATTAATAGGTACATATGAATTTTCCTATAATTACATTTCTATCCCTTAAGATATGAAAGGAAGACATAAAACTATAACATCTGCGAGATCAGTCTTCTAAGCTCACTAAAATTGGGTAGAGTATCACTATCCACCTCTCAACATTCATTTCCCAAGGGGGAACATCTGCTACATTGAGCCAAGGGAACATGGGGTGAACTTTGAACTGCTAAGTTTTATATGAAACATAAGCCATATATAGACACTGCTCTGAATCTCTGGAGCTGTGCAAGCTGGGAAATTTTCAGCCTTAGTACACAAGCTCTTCAGCTCCCTCCTGCATTCAGCAGGAGCAAAAGGATTTGTCCTTTTAGGATACATGGGGCCACAAAGGAAAGGCTGGCGCAATGTGTCAAGTCCACACATAAGGTGTTCTCCTACTTCTGGAGGAATTATTTGCACAAGCATCATACTCTAATAGGCTTTGGACCCCAACCATGGAATAAGAGATTTCACAAGTAACACCTCTAAACACTTCTAATCCTTCTCCCACTCATGTCTTGTTTCTATGAATGTCTCAGAGTATTCTCCACATCTGCAGTTCTGCTTTCTGAGAACAATTGTAGACAATTTTAAAAGAAACATCACACAAAAACTACTGAGGCACATGCAGAAATAATATGAATAGCTCCTTGATGCTTTCAAATAGGCATTTGATGAAAGACTCATAGTTAGAGCTGGAAGTTTTGGTCAATTTGTGTTTTTATTGATCTTTATCATCCTCCATAACCCATTAACACTGGTCCTTCCTGACAGTTAAAGCAAACATGACACAAAGTGACAGAAAGACCTGCCAAGCTCTTGAAATGAGCTAAACTGTCTGACCAAAACTAAGAGTTCCTTCTTGTCTTTGAAGTTCAAGTAACAGTCAGACCTGGAAATATCCCTGCATATCTTCAATACACACACTCTAAATTTTCACTGTAATTTCAACCAGCTGAGCACATGTAAGGTATAAGCAAGAGGTAACTTTCCCACATTTATTCCTCAGTCATCTGTAAGAGGACAAAACCCCTCTAGGAAATTTTAATTTACTTTTTATTCACAAAGATGACCTCAATGATTTTATGTTTGAAGAGTTAAATCTCTATCATTTAGTGATATAACAGGTTTGAATACAGATTATTTCAGGTTCCATTAAACTGATTTTCCTTTCTGCCTTTCTTTTTTGTTTGTTTTTATTTGTTTGCTTAACTTCAGCATGATAAATGCAGACTTCAGTACAGCAACTGCTTTGATTTCATTTGGAGCTGTCCTGGGGAAAACAAGCCCTGTTCAGATGCTGATCTTGACAATTCTGGAGATCACAATTTTTGCATGCAATGAACATCTAGTTACAGGAATATTTCAGGTACAACTACTTAGCAGTAATTGTTTTCTGTTTAAAACATGATTTCACTTTGTAACGCTTCCAGTTTCTATGTTCTTGCTTCTACCATAGAAAACAAGCTATTAAAAGTTATGCAGACTTCTCCTTCATCAAATCCTCACCTTTTTGTTGTATAAATTTCTTGGTATTATTTTGGGTCCCTGATACAGGCCACAGATGTTGGAGCCTCAATGACAATCCATGCTTTTGGAGCTTATTTTGGTTTGGCCGTAAGCCTAGTCTTATATCGTCCTGGTTTGAAAAACAAGCATGAAAATGAAGAATCTACCTATCACTCCGACTTATTTGCCATGATTGGTAAGTAAAAGAAGCACAGATAGAAATAGCAAAAAACTGATCAGTTTTCCATCCCTTTTTAATCCATGCATTTTAATAATTGCCTATTATTACCTAGCATTCATTTTCTTAAGTACACTCCTAGAAGCATAGTCTTTTTTTTTTTCCTGAAATGTGCAGTTTTCAGGGAAACACATATTTTTGCTTTTCTTTCCTAAGAAGATCAAATTAAAGATGAATGCTCATTGTACATTAGTGGTGACTCCCTTTTTTGTGATATCTTCTGTTATAAGCAACATTTCCATGGAAATAGGCCATAATTAATGAAAGTATTTAGACCTCTGCTCTGTCCCTATGCCCATATGGTTTGCTGAATGGGACAGTTATCTATCTGTGCATGAGATCTGTTCATAGATCAATTTATCCACTAAAACTATCAGTTAAATCAATAAATCACAAAAGATTTTTATGTGAACTCTTTTGTTAATACGTCATATTCTTGCATTTTTACAGTAATTTTGAGTTCTAACAGCATGTGGACAGAGGGTTACAACAGTCTTCCAGTAAGATTCATCAAATGTCAAAATCCCAGTTGCCAGTGTCAAATGCATCTGCATATACTGTTACTTCTCCCAGCATTTTGGTTGTTTCATGTTTCTTGTTGCCCATCTCCCTTGTTTCTTGTAGTTAGTTCTGTTGTGTTGGATCTTTCACAGGGAAATGCCCCTGTGACTGAATAGTCTTTATTTTGTGTTGGCTTATGTCCATTCAGGTGCCCTGTTCCTTTGGATTTTTTGGCCCAGTTTTAACTCCGCCATTGCAAGTGACTCTGACAGGACTAAAGCAATTATCAACACTTACTACTCCTTGGCTGCAAGTACTGTTGTAACGTTTGCCCTCTCCAGCCTGGTGGATCGAACAGGCAAATTCAGCATGGTAAGAGTCACACCACAATCTGTCACCTCTCTACAAGTCACCCCTCTACAATAAGGATAATTAGGATGGTTCCCAACTGTTTACAAAATTAGGGCTATTATCCTTCTAAAAGCTACAATGTCAGATTGGACCCCGAGTTAACACACCCTGCTTTAGGCATGTGATCTGGTTTCTCAGAGGGATCACTACATCTGAAGAGTAGAAAGCTCTTGGACATCATCATGATGGTCCCACTCCCTTGTTCTCTCTTGGCCACGCAACCTGCTAGACCACAGAGAATTTGGTCCAACATTCAAGTGGACTTTTGTGTCTTATTCCAAAGACAATCCTACATGGGTTATTGTTTTGCAATAGGCAAAATAGGTCTCTCAATGTCATAGTGCAGCTGCACAACCGGGAAAACCAAACTAGGTTGGGTTGCCAGAGTCCCATATTTTTGTTACCTTACTGTAAAATTCAGCCCTAGGTTTTCACCCAGTTCTTTCAAGCAGTTGTAGTGCCCATCTAAGCCCAGTGTGAGCTGGCACAGTTCCATAACCTGACAAAATATTTTCATATGTCGATGTAGGATGCAATTTTTGCTGGCCTTGCCTGGTTTCCTGATAGGTCAAATGACTTTTTGTGGCTTTGCAAACAATGGACTGCATTGCACTTGCCCCAGTTAAACTGGCTTAGAGCAGCTTTGAACCAACACTCTCAGTATGTAAAAGGGAACTCCATTTGAAATTCCTGCTTATTCTTCATTGGAAAAATCCTTTGCAAGTCATTCAGCCCCAAAACAAGCCTCTATTCAATGTCTAGCATCTCCACTTCTGTGCAGGTTCATGTTCAAAACGCCACCCTGGCAGGAGGAGTAGCAGTGGGTACCTGTGCAGATCTGTTAAACCATCCTTTTGCTGCTATGTGCATTGGGGCAATTGCTGGAATCATCTCTGTCCTCGGATTCCATTTCCTGACTGTGAGTACCTAGGACCTGCTTCTGCTCTCATTTATTTACTACTTCAATGACTTTACTGAAACTCCCATAGTTTACTAGAAAGGAAGTTTAACAACCGGCTGATACACTACAGAAAGTAAGTTATAGTCAACTAATATTTTGAAGTGGATGTAACTTAAATACGTGCTTATGAGATAACTTCATTCCATCATCTAACTAAAAACATAGAAAGATTGCATAGATATTAGAGTTGATTAAAGCTAGAATTTCTGTTCAAAGGAGCTGCTTGAATTTTGCTCCAAGCCCATGTTTTATGAACAACCTCCCCCAGAAGAACTGTATTTCATATCAGTGAAATAGTACTAATTAAATTTCAGTCTTTTAAAGTATCTAAATAGTTCTGTAACTGAAAATGCTTTTGAAGTACAAAATGGAAGTCTTTCTTATGTAAAACAAAATATTCTGACTAACACTCTCTAAACTGGCATTTCATACTGGAGAAACATTCTGGAAGAAAATACCTGACTAGTAGACTTACACCAGGTACGTATGCGTTACTTAGCCACCACTGTCAACCTTTACCAGAGTGGCTGAAAAGATTGGGAATATCACTGAAGTTTCATGTGTTCTATTTGTGTTGGTAACTTAGACATTTCTACCGTTATCTGTACTCACCTGATTTTTTTCTCCATATATGACATCACAATCAATGAGAAGGTAGCAGGTTTTAAGGCTAAACTTTGTGTACATTAAAAAGGTTAAATTGTTTCTTGTTCTATATTACTTTCTTATATCATTTTAAATATCTGATGACATTTCTAATATCATTCTATAGATAATGGAGACTATAAACTCACCATAAACTGTATTGTTCCCCTCATTTTAGCCTGTTTTGGCATCCAAGCTGAACATTCATGATACTTGTGGAGTCCATAATTTACATGGTTTACCTGGAGTACTGGGAGGTATTGCAGGCATTGTAGTAACCGCGATACAAAGGACAAGTGGGTAAGCTATAGAAAGAAGTTCCTTTTAGTAAAGGCTTATTCTAATGTTTCATTTTCATTGGATCTAATTATGATTTATTTTCAGCAAATGCACCTTTGATTCGGTGCTGGACACAGTGCTCTGGTTTAATTAGAACTCTTCTTGATATCCTGCCTTTAATGTACAGTTTATATGCAAAGCTTGTTCCACACTAAAAGCTCAAATAAAAATTCTAACAGTCATTAAAGAAACACCATTCAAAAGTAGAAAAGTCATTACCATGCTTCTACAATTGTAGTTCAGGCAACTGTAAGATTTCCAAGAAAACCCCAATTGGCAAAATGGGCCATTTCCACTCTCTTAAAAAGACCGCAAGAAGATGAAAAGGAGGTCTTTTTGACAAAGGGTAACATTTTATAAAGGCTTAGAAGATATTAATAGCCTTTTCAAAGAACCAACTATGCTTAAACTATAGCCTGAAACAAAACCAAAACATATTCAGTCCCATATTGTTTTGTCTTGGCCACAGCAATGACAGGTATCTTCCTATAAGTCATCCTATCCAGCAGAGAGCAAACAGAAAGTTGTAAAACCAAATCTCAGCCTCAAAGTTTAACAGTTGATGGTTTGCTTTTCTGTCCATTTTAGGAAAAGTGCCCTGCATACCCCTGGCATGCAAGCTGCTGCCCTAGGCAGTACAATTGGAATTGCACTGGCTGGTGGTGCATTGACAGGTCAGTACAATGCATACAATGATTGAAATATGTGACATTAGAAGTGTGCTTATTGAGAATTTCAACCTATCAATAATTTAACTAGAAAAACAGAAAATAGAAAAATCGAAATATTTCATGATAGTGCACTAGCAGAAGCTTAAATATGGAAAAGACAGTTTTCCAATCAGTCTTCAAATAAAACCAAGATCTCTTACCTTATACACAATTCAAATATATTGGGTAGTATATAGAAATCAAAATTATTATTCTGGATGAAGTTCTGTTCTAGATTCAGAAACTTCAGATTCTGAGCAGAAACTAGTTTGAAATGAAGACATCTACCTTTAGGGGTCACATGTTCCCATGTGATTCTGTTATTAGGTGTCTTGTACTATTTGAGATGCCACAGGGTCTCTGAGACATCTATGGTGGACAGCTAAATATGACACAGGATTTACAGGAGATACATGTCTGGCCCAGGCCCAAAAGAAACTCAAAGGACACTAGATTTCTGCATATATTTCCAATCCCTTCTGCCTTATATACGGAGAAGAATCAGCTGAAATAATTTAGTGGTTTCTTTTATCTAAATATTGATAACTAAACCACTATAAGATATGTCATCCTAAAGCTGGACAGTGGTGGCTTCCTTAGTCTAACGTAGAACCTATGCAGATGTGTAGCCTGTGTAGAGCATTTATAGCATTTATAGCCTTCTGATCTCAGGAGCTACTGATCTCAGACAAACTTTCATCATGCAGTTACAATATATGATGTCCGAACACTGGTAGCTTGATTATATGTGAGCTGTTTTCCTGAGGACATGGAGAAAAAAATAAAATAAAAATATTTCCAAACAAAAATTCAGACTGAAACAAAATTCCTGTCTAAAACCTGGTGTGTGAGCAATTAAAGCCAAGTTGTTACTAAAGTCAATGTGAAAAAGCCAGTGTCACTTCTTATAATGAGAAACCTGATAATGGGAGGCTTAGAAGATTCCCCACAGCACATCTAAAGAATATTTTTGTGGCTTTTTGCTTGTTTGTTTGTTTGGTTTTGTTTTTGTTGTTGTTATTGTTGTTTGGTTGTTTGGTTGGTTTTGACTTTTAATGCTCTTTTACCTGTAGGTGCTATTCTAAAGCTGCCCTTCCTGGGACAAGCATCTGACAAGAACTGCTTTGATGACTCTATTTATTGGGAGGTAAGATACAAAGCACTGTCAAAAGGAGCATTGTTTTTGTTATGTTGGAAGAGGTACAGCACACTTAGGTTTGCACAAGCCAGCTTTCAAAAATGTTGCCCTGCCTTAGGCCATGAATTTATCAAGTCCACCTTCATGATCTATTCTGGACTTGCTACCTGGTCATGCCTTTTACATGGGACAAACCTTGAACAAAAAGCAGAAAGTCAGCCAACAAACTGAGACCTGAGTGAAGCTCTTTATCCCTCTTTTAACCGCTTACTGTGTCCAGTTTCCTCTTCCCTGTTGTAGTTTAAACACATGATATTTGCATTCTTGGCTAAATGGCGCTGCTTTTCTAATGTTATCTAGAATTTCATACTGAGTTAAACTTAAGAGTTAGTTAATTTCTTCAGTATTTGTAGAGACAGTCTGTCTTAGGCTGAGAAGAAGCTCTTCTGCTTCCTGGTTGAATGATCTGACCACTGATGTTATTGCTCAGGACTGTCACTATTGTTTTATGAATGAAGACACACATGATGGGGCTAAAAAACAACTACACCTGAAGTAGCCCTGCTAGGATCCCTTTATACTCAATTAAGAGAGAGCTTCAGGCTGCAGTTCATTTGAATCATTCCAGATCTCTGTTAGGGTTACATGAATTAAAATCTAGAAAGTCTGTCTATTCCTCACTGACAATGAAGGACCCTTCATCACCTAACTCAGAGATAAAGGTCTACACTGTATATAAATTCAATGTAAATAAAATGTTGTGAACCTCAAATGACATTTTATTATTTTTAAATGCATTAAACTACAGTACAAACTATGCATTTTTGCTTTTGGTCAGAGAAAGTTTGTGGTCCAACAGGAAGTTATAAGCCAAAATATCAACTGTAGGTATGACAATCAGGGGAAAAATAAATAAATAAATAACTTTTAATGACAGCTCTGTAAACTATTTGCTGTTGGACCTTGGAAAAGCCAGAAGCAATGGTTTTATATGAATGATAAAAAATGACAGGAAAATTAGAATATTAAAGTGCAATTGAATACTTCACAGTCTGTATTGACCAGTGATAGTAACACAACCCTGCTCACTTGAAGGTTCTTTAGTGTCAGTAAACTACTCACTGTTAACAGATACATAATATATACTAAGAGAATGACCTTCTCAGTGCACTTTAGTCTCCTCTTATGACAAAAGAAAATCTATCTCATCAACTGAACTGTTCGCTGTTTTTCATGACAGGTTCCAGAAGAAGAGAAACTGCATGTAGGTCACTCCAACAACTATGATGAGCAGAGCAGATTTGAAGCTACCATGTAGAAAAACAATTCACACAGAATCACGGAATTTCTAGGTTGGAAGAGACCTCAAGATCAATTCATCTGTAGCATACATCCTAATGATCCTCTTTTCAGTTTCTAAAGCTAAAAAACAACATTCAAGTACTGTCTTAACTATGCTTGTTTTTCTAGAAGGGGTTGTAAGTAGCTATATTTTTGTAACATAAAGCAAGCTTGATTTTAACATACATTGCCATTATGCCAAGTTCTAGTGAATCAATTAGATCTTTCCAACATATTTGTTCATCTAGAATGAAGAGAAGACAAACAAAAAAAAATTTGCTTTATAGTTGTTTGTATTTTACCATTTGTTATCAAGTCAATATAGCCATTGAAAAAAAAACTTTGTTTCAAGCCTATAACAGGATGCCATATTTAACTGCAAGATTTCTGAATTACAGTCACATCTTTCAACTGCATACAGGTAATCAAGCAGATGGCAATGAAGAAATGAATTAATATTGTTTATTTGGATTCTACCAAGCTTTTCACTGGAGAATCCCAGATTAACATTTTAAGAAAGTGTCTTCTCCTATTGTTGGATAGGGGAAAGAATGTGCTATATTTTGAAGATTAGTTGTGACAGGAAACAAAATATTGAAATAATTTGCATAGCAAAACATTGAATACAGTGATTGATAAGGTACACTAAGTAGTAAAATTTGTATCAAGGTTATTTGTTAATGTATTCATTGCAAGGAGAAAAAACTGAAATGGTGAAAAAAATCACTCTTTGCATGTATTTATTTAGACTGTTTGAAGGACAAAATAGGAGAATTGAGTAGGAATTGAGCTATGAAAAATAGGTAATTGTGTAACACTGTCTTACTAAGTTCCACAGTAATGAGTGAATGGTAGCACTGTAGCACTGCTAACTAATATCAACAGATATAAACAGAACTAAATGTTAACTTCAAGAAAAAGTGTGAGTTGTTAGGAACTGGTCAGAAAGCAGCTATCAACCCACAGAAGACTCAGTGGAGAACTTTGCAGTCAGTCACTACCTTTGAAGTCACCACCTCCTTAAAAAAAAAAAAAAAAAAAAGGAGAAAATTGAAACTAAATTAAGGTACGTTAACTCTGCCTGAGAAGTGATGATAATGACTGCTCAGTTAAGAGATAGAAAGACTGAGGGAACTGAAAGAATTCTATGAAATGTTAGTATCCGGAAGCAGAATCACGCATTTGTGCCTAATTACTTGAGGTAATCCACTGAGAGATGATTAAAATCTAGAAGGATCACAGCACCTCCAGACATCATTCAGACCACAAAAGCTACCAATATACCAGAATAACAATCTACTGTGGATGAACTTTCTAGAGTTCTTTATATTAGTCTATTTCAAGAAAAAGAAAGAATAGAAATAGAAATAAAATAGTTCAGTTGGAAGAGATCTTCAAAGATCAAGTCCGGCTGCCTGACCACTTCAGGGCTGCCCAAAAGTTAAAGCCTATTGCTGATGGTATTATCCAAATGCCTGTTGAGCATTGACAGCTGTGGGGCATCAACCATCAACCATCAACTGTGATCACTTCTAACAACATTACAGCAAGTTTGACCAATGATCCTTTTGCCTGACCTAATTTTCTTCTGTTTTTTTGTTTGTTTGTTTGTTTGTTTTCCTTGAGTTCAAGTTAAGTGAGGAAGACTGGGGACAGTGAAAAGAATGAGTCTTGCTCTACCAAGTCTTGCTCACAAAGATAACAAAACACCAAAATAATTTTGTCATGTTCCTAAAAGAACAAGTCCTTTTTATGCAATATGTAAAATAGCACAAAGCAGTGCAGTATTTGACTGTCATAAACTTAACAAACATTCTAGAAACAACTCAGCTGATTAAAGACATCTGCTTAGAGACATTGCCTTTCAGACTTCAGAGGAGCCACAAATATTGGTCCAAAGCAGGACATTGGACAAACTTTTATTCGATCTGCACTTCAAAATATTCCTGAGTAAGGAAGAAACACTCACAGCCTGTCACTCATGTCTGCAATTATTAAATCATAGAATCATTAAGGTTGGAAAAGCCCTCCAAGATATCTGGTCCAACCATCCCCTTACCACCAATGTCACCCACTAAACCATGTCCCTAAGCACCACGTCCAACCTTTCCTTGAACACCCTCAAGGATGGTAACACCACCTATTTCCTTGGGCAACCTGTTCCAAAGCCTAATTGCTCTTTCTGAGCAGAAATGTCTCCTCATTTCCAACCTAAGCCTCTCCTGGTACAACTTGAGGCCATTCCCTCTAGTCCTATCACTAGTTAGCTGTGGAAAGAGGCCGACCCCCAGCTCCCCATGCCTTCCTTTCAGGCAGTTGCAGAGAGCACTAAGGTCTCCCCTGAGCCTCCTCTTCTCCAGACTAAACACCTCCAGTGCCTTCAGATGCTCCTCACAGGACTTGTGCTCCAGTCCCTTCACCAGCTTCATAGCCCTGCTCTGGGCACACACCGAGGCCTTGATGTCCTTCTTGTACTGAGGGGCCCAAAGCTGAGCACAGCACTTGAGGTGCGGCCTCACCAGAGCAGAGTTCACGGGGACAATCACCTCCCTGGCCCTGCTGACTACACTATTCCTGACATAGGCCAGGATGCCCTTGGCTTTCTTGGCCACCTGGGCACACTGCTGGTTCATGTTCAGGAGACCATTCATTAGGAACACCCTACTCAGCTCACACACTCCCTGCTGGCACTGGAGCAACCAGACCTAATGGAAGAAACCAGCAGGGCTGAGCTGGCAAGGGCAACAGGGTTTGGGGGTTTGTTTGCATCTCCCATTGCATTTCTGGAGACATTTCCAGCTCCCACAGCACCCTTCCAATAACCTGGCAAGTCTCATATGGGCAGGCAAATGCTGTACTTGTTCTGAAACTCTGCATGGGCCCATGTCCTAGTAAACAACTCAGAACTGCCACTTCCTTTCATAACCTAAGAATTGTTATCTGACTTATCCCCTGTTAATAGTTAAATCCTAGCGATGTGTGGAAAGAATGACAGACACAGTGCCTTTTTACCTGCTTATGGAGGTATAGTAGAAACGTGCCAATTAGCACACAGCTGGCCATAAGCCCTGGACTTTTTCTGGGACACTGTCCAAGTAAGTGAAACAATCTGATCTTTCCTCCAGTGACCCTGGTGGCAGCAGCAGACTCAAGGCCAGACGGTATGAGAGCAGGTTTGCTTTAGCTCCTCTTCCAGGTTCTCAGCCAGGTTCTTATGTTCCTTTCCTCTAGGTCTCTGCATCTCCAGTCCTTGGGAGTCTGACTGCTCTCCCCTGCTTTTCAGCAAGTCTCTGCAGGGATCATGGCATTTTTAAGAGTCAAGGACAAAGGACTCAGACAGGGCACCTTAGGTCGCATAGTCTCCACATTCTTGCTTCAAAGCCATGTACAAGTTTCTGCTAGAAAGCTCATCCAAACACTACCCTGAAGCCTGCAGGTTTTCTTCCCCAGTCAGTCTCAATGAAAGCCCTGGATGGTTTCTTCTGCATGGCTTCTCCTTTTAGCACTCTCTCAAATTCTGAGATGAACAAGTCAGACTGCACCTCAGCCATCTTTCCTCAACAAGCAGAGGCCATCTTTTCTCTATTTCCCCCTCAGCCTTGGCTCAACACTCAGAGATAATCCTACAATCTCTTCTTACAGTCTCTCTGCCTGAAATGATTACTGTTGGATGTCAAAAGCAAGTGCCACTGATAAAGATAAATGAATCCGGGCCCTAATGTGCAATGTTAGGTCAACCTGCCTGAGTAGGTGACCTCCAGAGGTCCCTTCCAACCTCAATATTCTGTGAAAATTAAGAACATGAGTTATCTGATCATTTTAAGCTTCTGATTTTTGACGGTAAGTAAGGTGGCCTCCAGGTGCCCCTTGCCCTGCTCTCACTTTAAAGGAATGTTGGGCCCTCATATCAATACATCCTTTACCACTTGGTCAGATCAGTGTGACTCCACATTTCACTCTGAATACCACCTAGATCAAAGATGTGTGTGCCTCAACATATTATTCAGCTAGCTCAGAGGACTGTGCATTGAGTTTTTCCTTTCTTAAGCAATCCTGATTAAGGCAGCTTTACACTCTAGGAACCACAGCACACCAGGGCCATAAATCCACAGTCAGGTTACTCAAGAGAAATCTTCACAACAGTCCTAGCTCCCCTCTCAGCTAACCTCCTGTTCGTGGCAAAATCTGACATCCCTAATATCTTCCATAAAGGAAAGGGAAAGCCTGAGCTTCTTCCCTCTTCTCCCACTTCATGCCAATTGGTCCAAAAAGAAACTTTGCTCTGGCTCTCTTGGGCTTAGAAACCCAAATTCCTCTGTGTTACTGCAGTGGTTATACCATTTACTTAGCAACTGAACACATACCAAATCTGAAAGTGAGAGCAAGAGATCTCTGCTTAATGCTAGGACCTGAATGTAATGTCCCTCACTTTGCAGTCTCATCTCCCCTGGCTGTTGGCATCAAAATGGATAAGGACAGATCTGATAATGTCAGAGTAAAGGCCTCTGAGGACTGATCTCACTGACCTCAGCACTAATAAGAAGGCAGCTTTAGGTTCCCTAACCTTCCTGTGGAGGAACATTAATGGGTCAGCTCTAAGTATAGCAAGCTATAAGTAATAATAAGATCAGCTATAAGCACAGTATAGAAAGAGGGAAAATTGGGAGAGAACAAGACCTAGTGGACATAATCTGAATTAAGGGATGTGAATATAATTTTACAATGATAAAAAATAGAGAGCCTTGGGTTATATTGCCTGAGGAAAGTTTGGCAGTTTTAAAGATGATGACACAGCAATGCTTAATACCATAGCATAAAGCATTTAAATGAAAAGGATGACCCTTGCATCTCCTTTGTAGACACGCTTTACTAGTTCTCAGTGTCTCTGCTTTGTGGACTAATGCTTTCAGTTGCAAAGTTCAAGGCACTGTTTGAGTTGCTATTTCTAAATTTACACCCCCAGACATCTCTGCCAATGTATGAGATTCATTGTTAATTCTCTCATTAAACAGTAACCAGGATAGCGTAAAGTGAGTGTATATGTTGGTGAGAGTGCTAAGTATTCTTCAATGGTAAAATCCCAGAAGGGAGCTGAAACTTCTACCACTTCTTAGAGGTTAAGCTCATACCTCTGTAAGCGTAGAAGTGCCATTACTGCTTGAAACAACTTCTGACAGGAGATTGCTTGAATTTTCATCTCCTCAGCTAAGCTTTTACAGAAAGATAATGGATTGGGCCAGCATTGTTCCTGTGGGGTTACTGTTCATCCTCATTCTCCTCCTGATTGTGAAAACACAATATTTCCAGAAAAGCCATGTGAATAAGAACCTTCCCCCAGGACCCAAGCCTTTACCCATCATTGGAAATCTGCACATCTTGGACTTGAAGAAACTTGATGGGACAATGATAAAGGTAACTTCTGTAGTTCTATTTCTCAGAGCTCTCACTCTAAGGCAGAGTTACAAAGTTTTCTCAAGGAATGGAAATCACAAACACAACAGGATTTATTCTCTGCAAAACTGCTATTCCTATTATATGATATTGTGTTGGTGCAGGGGAATTGGCTTCCAGCCATATTAACAAGAGAATTGACCTACTTCTGTTGAACACAGGAAATGCTGGGGCTCTCCAGGTAAGAGTAACTAGAAAAGAGGGGCCATGGATCTCTTATTCTTAAAGGAAATTCCACCAGCAACTGCTGGAGAACAGAGCTTTTTGGAAGATGTTTGGAAGATGTTTGCTAGATTCAGACATCAGGGAACTGACAGCAAACAAATTCTTGATACTCTCCCTTGATGGAAAAATCTTCCTGGTTTCCCAGAGTGAACTAGCGCTGCTTGTTCTTTCATACCTTATGGCAGTAAACTCCAGGAATTTGGGGAAGATAGTGTGTGACAGTCAGATAGGGTATGATTTTTGGTGTAGACTCACTGTGCTATTCCTCAAAACCACAAACAGCATATCTAAGTATTTCAGGGAGTTTCTGTATCCTACCATTTACTACCACCTTGGAAATCAGTCTCCTTTTGGGTAGGTGAACAT